TTCAGGTGAGCAACCTGGAGCAACATGGATCATCCTGCTCTAGGTGAGCATTCTGCTCCGGGTGAGCATCCAGGAGCATCCCTCCTGCACAGTGGGACTGCAGCCCCTGGGATAACGCTGCGGTTCCCGGGACAACGCTGTGGCCCCATTGGACACCCCCTCCCTCCTCTGCACAGCCTCTGCCAGTGGCAGCCCCTTCGCCGTGCCAGGGTTATGTCCCATCCTTCCAAGCACTAGGAGGGACTTGAACCCCCTTTTACGAGCTAAAAAAAAAAATCAACAAAAAAACCCCCTCACTTCCCCCTCGACCCTGCTTCCAAGATGCCCTGCAGGAATTTCACCAGGGACTCGAATCCACCCTTGAAACTGATGCTGAATCTCCTCAGGGGATTTTAGCTCTCAGCCTTTGGCTTCTCCCTCCCCTCGCACTTTCTAAGTAAAGCAACCACGACATTCCTCACCCAAATATGCTGCCTTCAGTTCTGCCACATGATCAAAAAAGCCATGAGAAAAATACGAGGCCAGTTACAAAATCTTGTGAAATCAGATCTGGGAACATTTGGTTATAAAATAACAAATATCAACAGAAGCTGAGAAAATCCAACAATGTCAGAAAACATGCTTCAAGTACTTGGACTAGAAAAGCTCAGGCAATAAATTTAATTGTAATGAACACTCTCTTTCTGACATGTGAGCCATGCAATTGAATCTCCACAGACAGTGAAATAGGGACCCCTGGCAATAGAGGCTCCACACAGAGCAATGTTACACAGAACAGGACAGTAGCAATCAGCTGTCAAATTTGTAACTTCCACATTGCAGTTAAAGATTTGATTTAATTATATGGTGCTACTATTAATAAGGTGTAAGATGTGAGAGTCATAAAAAATAAAAATAAAATAAATTAAAAAGCCAAAAAACACCAAAACCCACCACACAGCCCCACCTCAAAAAGACAGAACTCGTTTTTCTTTATTGTCATGAAAACAACAAACATCAAACCACATTGCAAGTTCAGAGGTACAACTGAAATTTGAAATGGGTTTCTACACCAAACCACAGTGGTATTTATCTGCTGGTCATCCAGAATGGGAAAAAACAAACAAATCCACATTTCCCCAGGTATTTTACAACTCATTCTGCATTTTCGACACAAAAGACTTACTATATTTTTGCTGTGAAGAAAGATGCTTTGAGATATTTAAAGTTTAAGGTCTATGTAAAATGAATTTTATTTAAGTCAGACACTCCCTGAGCATGAGGTTAAGACATAAATAAACCAGAACATTCTTTATCATAACATACCACTTCATTTTGTTACACACTTTGCAGAAAAAAACCACTTCGCAATGCACTTCCGCACTCCTCTAAACCTAATTCTGGTCAACATCAGCCTGAGGCAAAATGAGAGCTGTGACCAATTCTGGGTTTGTTTTTGGAGTTAATGACCACCAAAACCTGTTTAACTTCAGGCAGAATTGTGTTCAACAGGTCTGAAAATTAGGCCCTAAATAAATTTTTTCACCTGAGTCTCATCCCATTCAGTATAACCCACCAATTCTCCAGTGACAGTTCTTCCCACAGGAAAATCACTTTTCATATAATTTTAAGATAAAAACCCAGTGTCAGCTTCTGACAACCTGCACACGAGTGCCAGGAGGGGAAGGAAGAGTTTGTTTGGAAGCTTCTAATTGACCTCAGTGGAATTGCGTCCCCATCCTTTAAAACATTTATGAAAAACAGTTATGGCACATGAACAGTCCCCAGTCTGAACCATTAATACCTTGGGAATATTAAAAGTAATTAATCTGACAATTCCAGGGAGGGGAGGAGCAGGAACCTGGCTGCACTGAGGGCTAAATCCTTCCGATTATCAGATGGTCTTTTTTCTCACTGCTTTTAGACAGCTACAGAGACACAAGTTCTTGTTTTTCCTTGGTTTTCTATTTCCTCAGCACTGGCAGGTAGTCTGTGATAGTCAAGTGATTCTAGATGATATGCAGAACTCCAGTGTGTGTGGAATTGGTTTCACTGAATAATCTCCGAAAGGAAGCCAATCCCAATCCATAAATTACCAGAACAGCAGGGAAGTGTTGGGAGGAGAAAGCTCACCCTTTTGGACTCTCACATTTCAATGGTGCTTAGGCAGAGGAACAAAAACAAAGGCAGTGTAGATTAACTACTTTTCCTTATTTAAAAAAAAAATCCTACAGACTTAATCTGTTTAATGCCAGATGTGTTTCATCGTGTTTTCTTAAGTGTTGCAGCTGAAAACAGAAGAGAATTCAGCCTTAGGTATCCTTTTTTTCTATCTTGCTTCTGCCATGTTTTTGCTTGTAAGTTACCACCTGAGCAGTGCAAATTAAAAATATTAAAATGGACTTAAATGGTTTGTTTCCAGGTGTGAAGTAGATCTGCAGTTTGAGGGATGGCTTTTGTACACAATAGGCTACTGATGGTTCAGTCTGAAAGTCATATTTTATTTTTTATTTGCTCTTTAGCAAAAAGGGAAAGGCAAAACCAGATGTGGTGAGTGATTTCAGGGGTCCAGTTCAGCCTGGTACTGCAGACTTGTAAATTCAGGTGTGTAACCCTGACCTGCAGGTTGTCAGGCTGACATTTACAAAACTGCTCAACAAAACACAAATCTGAAGCACAACTCTGAATTGCAAGACTGCTAAATGAATATGTCTCAGAAACCTGAGTTTAAGTGCAGAAGACAGAGATGTGTGCACATAGATATATTCTGGTCTTGTAGTAATATTTTAAACCTTCCCTGATTTATTGATTCTGATATAATTTAGTAACAAAATAACAGAATTTGAATCTAGTCTTTCTGTTTGATATTTTTATCAGAGTAAGTGTCAGGGTTGACAGCAAGCTTGTCAGCAGCCTAGCATTTATCAATGAAGCAGTGGACATAAATCGGATTACAGTATACCCCTGAAAGGAGGAGAACACAGCATGCAGAGGAATATGGGCAACTTTCAAAAAGGAAGAAGATGGAAAACAGAAATGGACTTCCTGTACTTTCTGCAAGTCAGGATGACTCGACAAAAACTGTGTTTACTATTTTGCAACCAATCCTGGTGTGTGTATACATGAAAGTACCAGTAGCAGGTTGACATGTGGATGGCCTGATGGCCTGATGTATGTGTACCAATAGAAAGCGACATGTGTGTGTGGCCTGATCTATGAAGGCACCAATAGAAAGTTAACATGTGTGATGTGTGAAAAGTATAAATGTTTGCAACCTGTTACTATAAAGTGATTGCAGCCTTCTTGTAATCCTGTCCCTACTTTGGAAGAAAGTTGTATTGGCCATCCCTATGTTGTATTGGCCATCCCCGACTTTAACAGCGACAAGTAAGAAATTTATAGTTGTTTACTATCTCTTCTTATCCTATGGTCAGGATGAAAGGGAAGAATATGCATAATATTTGCATTTGAAAAGATGCAAGAAATCTGCAAAGAATTGTAGTTGTTCTGTATCAGAGAAGATAGGATAAGGATCATCATCAAGCCCATACAGAGCATAACTATATTCATTAAAATAAATATAAATATAATTCATTAAAATAAATATAATAAAAGCTGATTTTTCAAAACAGTTATGAATACTTGTTCAGTGTTCTTGGGTTCTTTTTTTAAAGTAAGCAGGTTGTTGAAAGATCTGGGGTGAGTATTTAAACATAGAATGATTAGAACTACACAAGATTCCAAGAAATCCACTGGTGAAAGTGATAACTTTGCATTAATGCTGATTAGCAGCTGAATTTTGCAGAAAGGCGTATCGAGGAAACTCTTTAGGATGAAATTAATTAACATGGAAATTGCAGACACAGCTAGATTACAAAAGAGGATAAGCTAGAAACTCAGCTAGTACAAATCACTACAGCATCATTGAAATCCAAACCTAGCTCAGTGGTTGCTGGAGGACATCCAGATCCTGATTCCAAAGTGCCTTATAGAATTTGTGCTGTGCCTTTTTAATGGTGCCAGTGAAAATTACAGTGTTTTTGTAATCAAATTATTAATGATAATACAACATAATTAATGGACTATGTGCAAACCATGGAGTTGTTTTTTTTCTCTTTTCATTACAATTTTTGTGTTTAATTCAGATAACAATAGACATTTTTAAAAGGACATATTGTTTTGCAAAAGGTACAGTTTTATTGCTGAGTTTATAACAACTTTTGAATAGTATGAGCCTCTTGAATAGTATGAGCCTATTTCATAATAGCATGAACAAATATCCATTTCAGAAACAGTGACACGGGATTGCGTGACCAACACAGTGAAAGCTGAAATGACATTTTCAAGTGGTGAGACCAAGCTGAGGACATGTAAATGTGTGAAATATTTAGGCCCTTCTCTTTCTCTTTGAGTAAAAATGGATCCTTCTATTACCCAAACAATGTTGGCTCCTCAAATTATAACTGAGCAAGTTTGAGCTGGCTCCCTGCCAAAATCTCCAATGCTCAGCAAAAGTCTGCTTCCCAGAGAGGGAAGAAAAAAAAACCAAACAGCCAAAGCTATAGCAAAATATATATATATTACATATAAAACAGATATATACAGTGAGAATACTATATACATATAACCCCAGAAACCCCAAATAGCTTCCTAAAAAGGAAGAGGGGAAGGGAGAAGGGAAAAAGGACTAAAAAAGGATGCAAAGGGATAGAAACAAAACAGGTATGCACAATCTAAAAACCCAGTAACCAGCAAAATAAAGAACTGGTAAAATCTCACCACTTCCCTTGAGAGAAGCAGGATGGCTGGACATGGCCCAGCACTCTCCCCTCACGTGTGGCAGACAACAGCAGTCACTGCAGGCCTCAGCTCCAGATAAGCCAGACCGAGACAGGGACCCACCGTTCTTGAACCTCACTGGAAAGGAAGAGAGCGAGCTCTCTTATCTACACCTTATTTATAGCATGAAATAGCATGGAATACTTCTTTGGTCACTTTTCTAGTTCCTTTCTGGTTACAAGCTGGTCTCCAGGAAGGCCTAGGGTGAAAACTATCACAACAACATATCAGTATTTTAATTTCACTTCTCAAAAATCTATGAAGACAAATGTAAATATTCTTTACTTTCCAAAGAGGGGAGAAATCTACATTTTGTGTAGAGAGAAAAGACAATCTTTTGTATGTGTTTGTTTTTATTTTAAAGGACAAAATCCCTGCCATTTTGCTAAGAAAACAATTAAGTTGAGATCGTAGAAGACATATAGTTTAAACTGGTTTTGTCTTTAAATATTTTCTCTAAGACTTAAATAAATTATGTTCAGATCTAAGCATAGATTAAAAAAGGTCATTAGTTTGTAAGCAATTGTCCAAACTTTGCAGCAGAATCACATTCTTACACTGTGATACAACTAAAGAGAGTGATGGAAGTCTTCTAGCCTTATGCAGTTTTTAGAACACGTCTCTTCTCCACTCAGTCAGTTCAATCAGGAAGAGGCTTATTCTGCTTTATCCAAGGGAAACTGATAACCACATTTTGTGTCAATCAGTCCATTTTGAAAAGAAGCACAACTGGATGATTTACAAACAAGTCACTGCGTCTGAATGGAGCCTGAACAGTGAAGAACAGTTACCACAACAGATAAAGTTCTCACTGCAGAAATAATTGCTCCTATTTCTGTGCTGGCAGCTGTACTGGTATCTAACTGTCAGAAACTTTTGGTAGACTTCTAAAAAGTATCATTAGGGATAATTTTCTTCCTCTCTCTTTTTTTTTTTTTTTTTTTTTTTTTTTTTTTTTCATTTCAGTTTCCTTTTCCTTTTTTTGATTGTTTCTCCATTTCCATTTTTGCTTCTTCCAAATATCTCTTGAACCATATGTTCCTACGTTATAAGGAAGAGTAAAGCAGTCATGTTTTTCCTCCCTGGAGAACCCAAGGCTTGAGAGGGACCTTAACCACATTACTCTGGTACATATAAGGGAGCTACAAAGAGGGTGGAGGATCTCTACTCACAAAGAGACACATGGAGAAAACAAGGAGCAACACAAACAAGTAACCCTGGAGGGTTTCATGTCAACACAAGAAAGAAATTTTTTACAGTAAGAACAAGTATTTGCTAGAACAACTTCCCCAGGGATGTGGTAAGACTCCCCATTGCTGGAGGTTTTCAAGATGCATTGGACAGGGTTCTGGATAATCTAAAAAGGCTCCCTGCCTTTCCACCAAAAAATTGGACCACATGATCTTCTGAGGTCCCTTCCACCCTGAGTTGTTCTAAGGCCATATTTTTAAAGTAGAGGGTCATATTCATCACTCAGTTTTTCCAGGCTGTTTTCCAGTTCCATCAGTCCCTTGCCCTGCTCAGCATAGAGCTGTATTAACACTGTGTAGATGCAACAGAGTGGAGAGATGGGAACAACTACCTGTACCTGAATGTAGAAAAAGCCTCTAGAACCTCCTCTTTTGTTAAACCTGGGGATGCAACCACCACCTCAACAGTGCTCATCTTTCAGCATTGACTTGTCCTTCAACCTACAGTGAGTCATGTGCTGCTTTATGACTTAGATGTTCTTCCACAGGTTTTTGGTGTCTGTTGGTCAGGCTGCACTGGATTCAGTGTGAATTGACACAGCTATGGTCAGATTTACTGTCAATTCCCCAAATATGAGCACTGGGGAATTCCTGATATTTAATAGTTCAGAAGAAGTTTTGATATTTGTTGTTGGACATTGGCGTATGTGGTTCTATTTTTGTCTCCATATTCCTGCAGAAGGTCATGTCACTGCCTAAAGCCTCTGGATTTCAGAGCAGTAAAAATCTGGGTTGTTCATATCCTCCTCGTGATGACCAAATACAACTTCTCAGCATTTCTGCAGCTGCTGACACAGAGATTCAAGACAAAACCCTCTGTTGTCGTTGGAATACAAAAGAGGAAGTTTCTCCCTACTGGAAAGTCTCCTCTATTTACCCTGAAGGGCTCTTCCTCTTCTTTTCTCAGCAGCAACANGAGAGCAAGCTCTCTTATCTGTACCTTATTTATACCCCAGGTTACGTAAAGGAATAGCATGGAATACTTCCTGGGTCACCTTCCTAGTTCCTTCCTGGTTACAAGCTGGTCTCCAGGAAGGCCTAGGGTGAAAACTATCACACTCTTCTTAAATTCCTCCTTCTGAGTTTTTCTCTTCTGGTTAATTCTTAAATATTTATCTCATTGACAAGATCTGTTGCTTACCACTGCTTAACCTTACTTGGATAAAGCCCATTATCAAGTTTAAACCTGTTTTAAAGCTGTAGAGAGATTATCTTTTCCAGCTCCAGCTGTGCATATTGATGGCTGTGTAGCTTCTAGCTGTTAGTCAGTACCATGATTGTCCAGTTTGTCCCTAGGTCTGCCCATGGAGCAATTTGTGAACGCTTCTGAGTCTTTCACGCAAAACTGGCCAAAGAAGCAGTTTTGTTAAGATGACTTCCACTTAAGCAAGTGCAAGTGATTTTATTTGTAGTGAATTAGGAAGAACAAAGGCTTTTGGCATAGCTACAGACTTCTGACAGGACTATTTTTAGCATAGCTGTTTGCAGAGGGAGCATCTGTTTAATACTTTTTTGGATGAAAATATTTTGTCACCTCTTTGCGATTCATATATGAATACAGAGTCTAAACAGTGTATTGATGGGGAGAATTGAGAGCTTGGGCACAGTGATAAGTTTTGAGAATTGGTCTAGTAAGAAAAGAAGAGCTAAGCCATAATCATCACTTAAATAAGTAAAGGGGGCACACTTGTGTAACATGGATAAAGTGTTAAGCATATAAACTGTTTTTGAAAAGGTAGATTCTGAAAACAATAAAATTGCTATAAAAGACCTTAAATGTTATATAAGGAAAAGCTATGTTTTCATTTTGTGTTTATATGTACAGTTTGAGTAAACTAAGAATCTTTTTTAGGGCTTCCAAGATGGATCTCAAGTGTGCTCTGGAAGAATGTTCAATGGCACTGAACTTATTTCTAAACAATAAGTTCTCCGAAGCTCTGGAACTACTTCGTCCGTGGTGAGGTCCTGTTTTTTGCTGAATTTACTGTAAACAAATAGCGTAAAGTATGCTACCTAGTACCTGAAGATTATTTAAGGCCTCTGAAGATAGTGGTTTTCATTTATTCCCTTTTGTCCAAAAGCATTTATCCATATATTGGGGTTTTAGCAGTGTGCTTGTCTCTCTAAGGCCATCTCAAAACCTGTTGATGAACCACTGAATTGTTCTGTTAATCATTCGAACTGTCTTTCCTCATGTGAAGGGGGAAAGCAGGGAAGCAAGACCTTATCCGATGTATCTTTGATTAGAGAATTTGTACAGTGGAACTGCTTTTGACAAGAGGGAAAATCTGGAACAAAACTCCAGAATACTCTTTTTGTTGTTTTTTATATTACGTTTGAGTCACACATTTAAAGCGCATCTTTTGATCTTCTGACTAATTCTGCTTGTTTCCCTGTTGCCTTTCCTCCACTGAGAAGAAAAGCATGGCAGTGCAGATGTAAGGAATTAAAGAATACGAAGAGGTTCATAGAGCAAATCTAGCTTATCTGTGACTTTGTGGGGAGGCAGTCTGGGTGGCTGATCTTCAGGACTGGGATCTGAATCCCATTCACTATTCTTCTCTTACCTGTGTCTCAAAGATGCGTATGATGTTGAGGGATGTTTTGGCAAGAGGGATCTGTAGCCTATGTTAGTAGAGCGAGGTAAGGTTCTTGATCTGCAGTTTAGTGCTAGAAAGAATGGATTAAGAGTGATGGGTTGGTGTTATATGGATGAGTTCAAGAACACCATTAAATGAAACTTCAGAAGGATGACACAACTATCAAGCGTTTGCTTTTAGTAGTATGGAGAGCTCTCATACTTTAGTAGTATGGAGGGCTTTTAAAATTAGCTATATTTACTCTCCAGCTCTCTTCTCTGAGCATTGTATAGTGTTATTTGAAATAGAGAAATGCTTTGAGAAGGCCCACCTGCACTTGAGTGTATGCTAAAACTATTTTTAGGTAATATTGCAAAATAATAAGTTCTACCTGCAAGGATTGTGCATGAGTGTATTGCTAAATACACGCATACACATATTGCCAAAATGTTTTTTGTGCATATGATATATATTTCATTTTGCATTGTAAAACAAAAAAAACCCCTTATTTTGTCATGGTGTTTTTATGTACAGCAAATTGTTTGTTTGTAGTTGATGTTTGCTAATAAACTTTGAGCTTATTATATAGCACATTGCAAATGCTGACCTATTGCAAAAAACAAAAAAGTTGCCTATTAAAAAAAATAGCCTGATTGTTTTATTGAAAAATAGCCTTTTATTGAAAGTTAAACTTAAGTCCTTAAATAATGTAAAAATTTTAGGATAAGTTTTGATAGATTTGAGAAATAAAGACTTAGCCCAAAGGTCATCTTTCTTGACTCTGCTTAGGATTTCTGTCTTCAAAACTACATTTGGTAGTTGGCTCCTTGATTTAAAAGGAAGAAAAAATGTTAGGGAAACTAGAGATCATCCAACAAAGAACTAGAAGCCTATCTAGAAGGCTAGAACGAACGATTTATTCAGAAGGGTTTGTTTTAGTTTGACAGAAAGGAGACTTGGGCATTAATCCAGTAGTGGTCTGAATCTGTTGAAGGGAAGTTACAAAGACAGAGGCACCATTCTCCATAGTATCAGGTGGTAAAACAAGAGTCAGTCACCACAAGTTGAGACTGAGGAGGTTCAAACTGGTCACTGGCTAGTACAGTACCGGAGAGGCTGCCAAAGGAGTATGCAGTCTTCATTTACTTGAGGTTCTTGAAACTTGGTTAGGTTAGCCTGACATGATGTTAGCAATAGTGCTGTTTGTTGCACTTAGTATGTTTGAGTCTGTAGGCACTTTCCAACAATTTTTTTGTAATGGTATAATTTATGTTGTGAAAGCCAGACTAGTTCAGTGTAGTCTTTTATGTAGAACTGAGCATTTGTGTACTGACATTTCTATGACACAAATACAGATTTTTGTCTTTGGATCACATAGTAATGTTAGAAGGAGGTTCTTACTTACGTCGAGTGAAAGCATACAAATGAGTATTTATGTCAAGGCTTAGTTAACTAAATTAAAAAGATATACCAGCAGACTATAAATGGTATTTAATTAGGTGCAAATGTTTGTGTAACTCAAGTGGAACTTCTTGTGACGGCAGACTTGTAGCACCCAATGGAAAATGATACTTGCTTTCTTACTAGTTTATGTTCTCATGTCTATTACTTCCCTGCTTCATTCTTCTGTCTTTTCAAAATTAACGCAAGTGTCTCTGCATTTAGTTTTGTATTGTAATGTAAAGTGTTGCTTAAATGCACAAGATTTATGTTTTCCCTAGGTCCAAAGATAGCATGTACCATGCACTTGGATACAGCACTATTTTAGTTATGCAAGCTGCTATGACCTTTGAACAGCAGGATATACAAATGGGAATTTCTACAATGAAGGAGGCTTTGCAAACCTGCCAAAGGTATGCCCAAGCACTGAACATTTATGAGATACTTAATCCACTAAGTGTTCTTTGTAAGGTACCCCAGCTCTCTCTATGCTTTTAAAACTGATTCCTATCAGTATGATAGTGGCCTAAATTTGTAAATGTGGAGTAAGTCCTACTACACAATTATTACTGGTGAGAATATTTTTCCACAGAGTATCGTGGAAACAACAGACTTGTTGTGGCTGGATATTAATAGCTGCTAAAGTTAAATGGTTGGTTGACTTTGTAGACCTACCCGTAAGCAGACATTACATGGCTTGTAAAAGCTGAAGTGTTTAACAAGGCTCTGACAAAAATAGAAATTAATTCTACTGTACTGGTTCTTCATCATATTGGTTAGGCCATAATTTATCAAAAGTGGTCTCCAAGGATATGACTGCCACATGTCAGTTTAGATGTTTAACATCATCATCTTAGCAATGACAAAAAAAGAAAAGGAAATGGGATGAAATTATCAGATACTATCTGAAGAAAATAAAAGTTTCTGCATCTTTTTCAGATGTGCTATCAATTTGCAGTTTCATCTGAATTGGTTGTTTAGTATGTCTGAAGATTAGATGCTCCTGTAGTTTAGACAGCTTCCTACGGGATTTCATCTCTGCAGGATATGAACGCTAATGCATAAGTACTCTGGTCTAGTCTGTCGCAAAACTCATAAAAATGCAAGACAAAGGCAATCAAACATTCACATGTGAAGAATTGCCAGAACTACATGTTCCCTGACTCTTTTCTTGTATTTATTATGTTAACCTGTAGTGTCATAATCTTGTTGTCAGGATCTTGCGCTTGTCAATGTGCAGAATAGTGTAAACAAATGATAAGCTAATGCTTAGTGTTTATAATCAGTGACTCCCTGGCTTACAAAATGCACTCCTTTTCTGAATGTAGAATTGTTTCTTTAGCTTCTTCATAAAGCTGAGTTGTCTGTAAATAGTTAACAAACTAATTTTTGGAATTATAATGTACAGTTGAGGTCCTTTGGAAGTAAAATATGTGATTGTTTTGGTATTTTATCTGGCATAAACCACCATTAAATACTGTAGCATTTATGTTGAAAAAAGAGCACCATTTGATGTTTTTTATTCCAATTCTGTGTGCAAGTTTAAGAAACAGAAAAAAGCAATTTGTGAAACTTAGAAGTCCTGTTCAGGTGTCTTGCTCAGGATCAGAGACACTTCTGCAGCTGGTGGGTGGAAGTGAGGTTGAAGCTATTATACACTTAAAGTAGGTTAATTGATGCTGTGAGCATGCATTTAAGGTTGGATGGGCTTATGAGCCTAGAAGCATAAAAGTGTTTAGACTTCTCAAAGAATTGAAACTGTTGGTAATTTCTATTAATTTTAGTTGGAAATGGTTAAGAATTCCAATAATTAAGGTCAGTTTTGTGTTGAAATATGTGGGTTTCTTTTCTTCCATGCACAAATGATTTAGATTCAGGAAAAGAAGCACAGTGGTGGAATCTTTGTCCAATCTAGTTTTGAAACAGTCAGTGGATCAGTTGAGTGAAGGTAAGTGGTTTATAACACAGTTAAAATTAAAAAGGGAAAAGCTCAAAACTACCTTACCAATGCGTGACTCTGTAACTTGACCAGTGTCTTACAGTAACAAATAAACGTACAAACCACCTATGTGGTCATCTTAAATTTGAACATAAAGCTTCTCAAAGTGGGGAATTCAGCCTAATTTTTTTTTTTGCTCTGAGCATGCATGAATCAAGGAAGGAATGCCTTTCACAACACATTATAGGACAGCTCCCAAAAGTTTAAGAATCATTGATGCAGTGGAATACGTCCTTATCATTAGTTGCATTGGAATCTGAATATATTAACAAGTTTTGTGCTTGTCTGTTTTGCCTTAAGGTGTTTTGGGAAATGGTATCAGTACATTGTTCATGGCTCTGAAAATGCTGATCTCCTATTTCTGATTCAGGCAGAATCAAGTATGCATTTTTTTCTAACCTGGCACAAGAATCCTCTTTAATACTTGGACACATCAAACTCACCACGTATGCACTGTACATACAGCAGCCTTGTGCATGTGGCTGGTCTTGCAGCATGGGTGCAGAGTAACTCGTGTCATGTGTGTTAAATCAAGTGTACTTTAGTGCTGCATGAAGACAGAAAGTCTGCCTGGGGCTTTCAGTTTGTTGAGCATGACTTGGTGAAAACCTGTTCATAATGTCTTACTAGATGTATGAAAAGTCTGAACCTCAGTGAGGGTTACCATTATCCTGAAAAAGTTTCTTCTAAGACGTGGAAGGAGGGTTGGAAGACTTAGTTGCTGTAGGCTGTTAAGCTTAGGATCAATGAAAAGTACAGGAGACAATCTACCGGAATGACAAGTAGCTTTTCCCATAGACCAAAGTCAGCTCTGTCAAGTTCAAAGTTTTTGTCTGAGAAGAAGGGAAATAGAAGACTTTTGTTGGGGTTTGTGTATTACAGCTACTCTTCAGCAGTTATCGAAATGGCAACAGCAGAATCTTGCCTTTTTTTTTTTCCTTGTCTTGGCAGCATTTTATTTGTTCCATTGACCCCAAGAAGAAAATGCTGACAGTAATTTTGCTGATACTAAATAACTTTTCTTTCTTATATAGAGGAAATGCATGCCGAAATCTGCTATGCTGAATGCTTATTACAGAAAGCAGCTCTCACCTTTGTACAGGTAAAGTCAATTTTTGATTTTGTGTCTCTGTGTAGCAGTGTACTGGAGAGAGATTAGTATTTGTATAATGTCATTCCAACACTAGATATGGTATTTAAAAACCAAACCTTTTGCTAGTCAATGTTATTTCATGGCAGTGATTGAAAGTATGGTAAATGCTGTGCTACTCAGCAAAGCCCTCTCTTTGTTTATACAAATAACCAAAGGTGTTATTAATATCCAGGTACCAAGGTATCACCGAGGTATATTGTAGTGTTTATACAGGTGTTATGTTTAAATGACTTGCATCACACTGTACAGTGTCCAGTGCTTCTGTAAAAATATGTTCAAGTATGAGGAAGAGTCTTGTTTGAAAGTGCAAGTCTTTTCTTTGCACAAAAGGATAGAATGTTTCCCAACTAACAAAACTTTAGCTGATGCACACTTGTCATTTCCAATTCAGTCTTGCTCTCTATGCACTTTTGACATGGTGTCAGGAATAATATGGTAAGGAATGATTATAAAATGAGCATACTTTAGCATTGCTGAGCTAACAGTTCAGTCCACAGAAAGATCTGGTCTTTAATACAATCTAGTGTTACTGGTTTAGATTGTGTTTAAGGGACTTCATGCTACAGTGTTTTCAAATTTGATTTGAAATTTGATGGCTGAAAACAGGAGTTATTAATCAGAGGTTTTTTACATATGTGAGTGTTTTACAAATTTATTGAATATATTTTAGATAATCCGATATAAATTATGCGAAAGGAGCAAGGCACTAAGATCAGATAAGTTCATTAGGCAGATATTTATAAACCGCTTAATACAGTACTTTGGCCAGAAGTGTCAGGAAATAGTATTAATGGAATGCCTATAACTGGCTTTCTCCTGGCTTCCTGGCTTTCTCCTTTACCAACCAGATGGAAGCAACCCTTTTTATTTTTATTGTGTGGGTGAGGGTTTTTTAAGCACGAAAGGAATTTTCAAACAGTTGTTGAAGTAGATGACTTTAGGAATGTATAAAATAAATTCTAAAAACCCTTAGATATGTATTTTCTCTAAAGCAGCAGCTCTCTATTGCTGCTAACTATAGTACCGCACTCTGCTGATTGTAGTCCTGCCCCATATGTTTCATCCTTGGCTGACCTTGATTCCACTGAGAACAATGATGAGAACAAAACTGTAACCACTCAGAAAGGCAGAACTAAAATGCTTGTACTAAAATACTTGCATTTGAGTGTTTAGACTTGCAGACAAAACAGATGAGGTCTTTTGAAATGGTGACCCTTTTATGGAAGCCAGAATTTCCTTTGGTTGATGGTTCTAAGCCTTTTTTCTTTTTTAGTGCTTTTTCATTTTCCATATCATATATGCTGTCCCTGAGTATTTAAATATGCATTTCTGAAATGCCTGCACATGTTCCCTTTCTGTGTGAATTCTAAGAGAAAAAATTACATCTTGTTGAACTGTTAGCTGTCTTGCTTTTCAGGTGTTGAGTTTTGATGGCTATTACATTGTGGCTTTGTTTTGCTTCTTCTAGAGATTAGTAAACATATATACTGGATAGTACATGTGGTTTATGTTGATCAGCAATGGGACTTCATCTGTTCAGGGGATTCTTCGGTTTGTCTTTTTCCAGGTTCTGTGTGGGCTTGCTTGTGTGTGTGAGAGAATTGCTAATTCGAAATTTTGTAAAAAGTTCCTACAGCACCATCTGGTGGAAAGCTTTCTCTATATGCATTGGAAATTCTGTTAAAAGTAACTCTTTGACTCTTTTTCACCTCCCTCTTAAGTTTTAAAAGTTGTAACATGCGCCAGAGAAGTGTTTCCCTGACAACTTAAAGCAAGTGTTAACATTGGTCTTAGAAAAGAGTCTAGTAACTAAAAAGCATTTTTAATGTTTCCAATGACTATTAAGATACAAATAAAAGATGGAAGATTTTTATGTATGTGTTATGTGTGATTGCTGAATGCACTATTTTGTACAATTAAATTTTTTTCTTCCAGGATGAAAATATGATCAACTTTATCAAAGGTGGACTCAAAATTAGGACAAGTTACCAAATATACAAGTAAGCCATTAGAAAACACTTAGTTTCAACGCTGATATAAGCAGTTGGAGTGTCATTAATGCCCCCAAAATAAAACAAAATATTTTTATAGCAATTATATTGATTATATTCCATATAATTTCTAAGTCATGTTTCCCCTTTCCTTTTTTTTCCTGCATCAAAAGAGAATGTCATCAGGTGCTACAGATGACTCAGGGGAACAAAAGCAGAAATGAAACTTATTACCAGTTTGAAGGAGGAGTAAAACTTGGAATTGGAGCATTCAACTTGGTATGACTTTCTCACACTACGGAAAGGCTGTTGGGATAATTCTGTAGGAGTCTCTTTCTTTGCATATGCAGTACTTTAACTCTGTTTTAACATTTGCCCATTTGTAAAATGGAGATGCAAGCCTTGGAGGTTTTATGCAATAGGAAAATAGCAGAGACTTCTGGCATGCATGCTCTCTAGGATGTTTCTACTAGTTTCTTCTGAACTGTGTTTCATTCTCTTGAAGTAACTAATATATGTATTTCTGAAGTAGAAGTGCTGCTACATAAGTCTACTTGTCTATAGCAGTAATTTTTAAGATGCTTATGCTGTTGGTTACAGGATACCTGGAATGACTGTTTATATATAACTCCCCCATATATACCATTATTTTGCTTCAGTGGTACTGTAGATTTGCATACATAATTACACTTAGAAGAATGAACAGTAGTTTACTGAGTTTATGCAAAAGAAGACTGTGAAGACTGTGTTTTCCTCACAATTTATTATGATTACCCTTTCACATCCATCATGGCAATGGTGAGAGTTGATTTCTGCTGGTATGTTCATCTCTGTATCATTCTGAACTGGAGCTGGCCAATTTTCAGTATGGTCAGAAGAACTCAGGTCTATCTGCACCAGCCTTTAAAATTCAAGCAACTGGTAGATGTCTGTTCATAAATGTTCTGACCTTTCCCATTGTTCGCGTAGTCTCCTCAGTAGAAAGCTTAACAGGAGTCTCTGCTTGGCAGAATGTATTAGGGTGAATGGAGCTTTTAAAGTGGTATCTCCAAGTAGACCTTCTTGGAATGCTCATTGAAAATGTGGTTATGATCTTTTTTCTGTTGTGTAGGATGTAGAGAATGCATATTCTCTGAACAGGGGAACAAAAATGCATATGATAGAGGATTAAGGATGATAACAATAGGTAGTATTTCTAAAACAGTTATGCTTACTGGTCTGCTAATTCAGTGCTCCCATGGTAGAAGCAAGTAGGACTTCCCTGATACCATTTTATTGGAAGTAAAGGAAGATGACAATTGTAGGTTGTAAGTACTACCAAAATAGATAATACTTTCATTCTGAGTGACACACAATTTTCAAACAATTCTGATCAGCTGAAGACAGAAAACTCTGTCATTATCTGAACAAACACAGCTGGTCTCTGTTCTGCTTTTTTCATGCTGGATGTTCATCTAAACTCTGAGCATGCGTGTCCCCTTTCAAATTCTTTTGTGTTTTACTTTTTTTTCTCATATGTAATAGCATGTAACATAGTAGCTGACCTTTTTGGTTCAAGTTTATAATGATTTTAACTTTTTTTGAAATGTATATGGTTTTATTTATCTTTTTTTTTTCTAATTTATTTCAGATGCTGTCACTTCTACCAGGAAGGATCCTTCGACTTTTAGAATTTATTGGATTTTCTGGCAATAGGGTATTTGATCTGATACTTGCCTTTTCAAATTAACCTTTTCTGAGATAAAGACTGGATGGATTTAATGTCATGTATTTCACAGTAAAAGTATCATGATCACTATTGCTTATCAGTCTTTTAGTGTTGTTAAAAAGACAAATGGACTAGATATTAAGAGGCATAAAAGCACATATGGTGATACCTGGCTCTTTAACAACCATGGGAAATGACCAGTCTGCTTCAGAGAGGATTTTTCAGATTGCAATTTTCTTTCCTTTTACTGATCCTTAAGTAGAGGACATCAGCCTTCTTTTCTAGTTGATTCAGTCAGAAATTAATGTTCCTCATACCAGTAACTGAGGGAAGAATCACAGTTCTACATTTTTCCATCCAAAATCCCAGCCCATTCCTTTGGAAAAAAAATTTTCTTAATATCATATGCCACCCTGAAGTCTAGGTACATCTTTTTCTCATGGATGAGCAAAGTATTTGTAACCATAGCCTTGTTTTCTAAACCTAGCCTTGTTTTGTACAGCTCTTTAAAACTCTTTTTGGTGCCCATAAGAAATTAAAAAAAAAAAAAGTAAAAGAACCCTATCAAAACAACCCATAGAATTATACATAACTAAACTTCAAGTTATTAATGCTACAGAGCCACCATATGGTCTTATTCTGTTAGCTTGTCCACAACATGGCTCTCCTTTTGTAAAATTAGACTTCTGTAGAGACCTGTTCATTTCTTCCTCTGAAAGACCTGGTTCATGCTGAAGCTCTTCCATAACATGTTTGCCCTAACTGAAAAGGCAGTAAAAGCTGAAAGGAAAAGAACAAACAAATTTGGAATATCACCACATTTTTTTGTGTAGTACTTGAATTCTCCTTTAACTCATCAAGCTGCTATGCAATAGAACTGATATGTTAATATTTGTTTTGAGGCAAAATTTTTAAATTCTGATAAGTTTCTGAAGAGTTGCTTGCTCTTGAGCAGGGGAACTCTGAGCTTGTCTCTACACCCCCCAAGCAGTGAAGCTGTCGTGTAATTGGCCTAAACTGGAAAGCAGTGGAACAGGTTTCATGTGTTACTGCTGATTAAGTCTCCATGAATCTGGATCTCTGTTTAGACACTGATGTATCAGCAGAGCTAGTATTTTGATCATAACCTCAAAATAGTGGCTGACTTGGTGGAAGAAAATGGAAGATAACCAGGGTTCTCTGTGAAGGAAGACTCACACCAACAAGTTGCATTAGAACAGTTGGGAGAGGTTCTCACTGAACATAGACTTAATGTTGTTCTGACAGGATCATAGCCAGAAAATAATGGGGAAGGGATGTAGACCTGTGTGTCTGCATGATTCATGTGGTGTTCTCATTTCACCATAGCACTGAAGTGCATGGGTAATTTTATTCAGAATTAGATTAGTCTTCTCCTTCCTGAGTGCTGTTAGCTGTGACAGAATTGTTTTGGTAGTGGGTTGTGTTGGATTTGCAATGATAAAATGCTGAATTATGAATACTTATATATGAAAGGAAAGCTGGATTTTGGTTATCCAGAAACAAAGTAGTAATTCTGTATACTGATAGTTAATTCTGCATGTGTTTGTGATATTTCTTAGGAGTTGGGCCTCTGCCAACTACGGGAAGGCGCATCTGGCAGCAGTTTGAGGGCCATTCTGTGTACTTTCACCCTGTTGGTTTATCATACTTACGTCTCCTTAATCCTTGGTGAGACCCACTGTGTAGCTTTTCAGTCATGCTACACCTTGTAATAGATATTGTGATTTAATTTTAGAACTGAATTTCAAAATTGTGGAGATTGATATGTATTTAATTATGATCTGAAATTAATATCCTTGACAAAGCTATGTCTGCAGAAACAGTGCAGATAGATAACATTATACCAACATCTTGCTCCATTTGCAGGGCTGTCTCAACATGTGACAGCAAAATATTGCAAAACAGTTTTAAGCTAAGAGAAGTCATTATGCATAAATTAACATCAGATATTGTGAAAACTATGTCCAGAAAAAAAGCCTCTACACCCAAACAATTTACTTGGAAGTACATACATGTAGAGAAGTAATTGCTTTTGCCACATAGAGCTAAAAGTCATAATTAATTCTATGTGCTTTTTTGCCATATATTTTCATGTTCTTTCATTTTTAAGTATTTTAGTCCTTGTCCCTCAGGCTCATCAGGAAATTAAGGAGAACTTCATTTCTTTCCGTATCACTTGTACTTCATTACTGAGCTCAAAATTAGGAAAAGAGGCACCTGAGGAGTGTTTTCCTGGCTTGCTAAAGCAATTACAGGGATTTAAAAATATAACTAGAATCTATAATGGAACAGTTTAAAGAATATTCCTATAATTCTAGTCTGTTTCTACTTACAGACACTTAGTATCTTAAAAGCACTTAGTACCTTTGGGACAAGAATTTAGTTTTATAGAAACACAGTATGATGAAATAATTCTGCTTTTTCATAAAAGCAGTAATCCATTGATCTATTGCAGTCATAATATAATTTGGAAAAAAATCTTATTCTATGAACTTGGATTTTTTAAGTGCATTGAGTGAGGTTGGTTTTTTTGTGTTTTCTAGGTACAGGAGAAGCCAATCTTCAGGAAGCAGAAAGTCTTCTTGAACCCTACCTCCAGAAATTTCCAAATGTGTGTATTTTCAATAAATTTTATAAGAGCAATGTAATTCCCTAAGCTTGAAATCCTAACTGGTTATTTTTTTCATCTCCTTTGAAGGGTTCCATTATTCTGTTTTATGCTGCTAGAATAGATATACTGAAAGGAAATTTTGAAAAGGTAAATAAATTTTTTCTTTTTAAGGTTTTTGTTTGTTTAGTGTTCAGACTGAGGAGGAAAATTAACTAATTCATCTAAGTAGCTTCTTTTAGTTGGACTGATAATTATACTCAGTTCGTGTTCGCTGTCAATGTTGATTCCAGCCCTCTCTCTGTAAGTGAGACTGAAAGGGAGGTTTATCTCATTTTACTATCAGGTGTTCTCCACTTGAGTGTTAACTAAGAATTTGCCCTGTGATTAGACATGGCTTTCCCATGGAGCTGTAATTGAGCCAGTTTTCATCATTCTTACTTAACTACATTGTAGGCACAGTTAAGATTCCAAGACTGCATAGCAGCCCAGCAAGAGTGGAAACAGATTCATCATCTCTGCTACTGGGAACTGATGTGGTGCTACACCTTCCAGCAGGACTGGCTTCAAGCATATCGATATGCAGACCTGCTCAGCAGAGAGAGCAGGTGGTCTAAGGTAAATGGGCAGGTGGACATTGTTGTGATATACCAGTGGTCTCTCTACAGTTAAATTTACTTATCAGTTTGCAGAATAAGTGTAATTTTTGCCTTCTTGTAAAACTCATAAGTAAAGGCACAATGGAACCAAAATGGTAGATTTAACTGGGTGGTTAAGGAGGAATTTTTCTTTCACTTATTGAAGCACCAGAGCCATAAGCAGCAGTGTTTTGGCCTCTCCAGAAATGGAGGTGCTTACCAGAGCTGTGAAAAAGATGATGTATGGGACTTGAATCTCAAGTCAAGTTCTAACACTCACTAGTAAAACTTGGCTGAAGAAACTGCGTTTGTTGGTTAATTATAAACAAAGAGCACACCTACTCAGCAGATGCTTTGTGACATGAGTAAGCTGCTGGAGACAGGGTCTCTTGAGGAAGTTGAGGTATCAGCTTTTTATTTGTAAAAATGTTTCTCAAAGTATGAACCAAGCACTATGTGTCAATAATTCTTGATGAATTATTGTTGTCTGTTCCTATCTAGACTACAGTTTTATTAGGCTTAATGAAAAAGGGTGTACATCCAATTCGTGAGAAAAGAGGAAGAGAATAGTATGTTAAACAGGAAGTGCAAATGTCTTGGATAGAATTATGGATGTTTCTTTCTTTTTCTCTGGAAAACCCAGTTATTAAACTTTCCTTGAGTCAGTACTCAGATATTTTCTTTTGGATTTTTTCAGGCATGTCTCTACATGTAATAGATCATGTAGTAACAGTAATGAACTTTAGAATAGTTACATCATTTAACCTCATCTCTTTAACAGTGGTTTGCATAATAAATTCTCCTGTTCTTTTCAGGAGACACCTTCAACTTTCTGACTCACTAACTTAAAATATTAATAAATACATTGAAAATAAAATTATAGCGTAAATCTTGTGACAAAGGGAATGCTAGACTTTATAGTTCACCATGCCTGAGAATTACTGGAAACACTTTGCTGCAGCAATTGGGGTGAGAGATTCGAGTCCTTAGTGTACTGACTGAAAACAGTGGGTTAGATGTGATAATATGTTGCTATTTCTTTTTGAAATAGGCAATATATGTATTCCAGAAGGCAGCAATTCTATGTATGCTTCCAGAGGATGATTTGAAGAGGACTGGTGAGGACGTCGTGTCTTTATTCAGGTAAAAGTTTATAAAGCAACTAGATGTGCAGTCTTTTTCCCCCCACGTCTTTGTCTTGCATGACTTACTTCCTGCGTATAACCATAAACTTTTCAGTTTTTCTCTTTACTTTTAGCATCAGAATATTTAAAATGCTATTCAGCAAACACACGTTCTATAACTGTGGTCTGAGTGATGTGGAACAATTTAAGATGTTGGACTTCAGAGCAAACAGTAAATCTTACTAAATGAAATGAGATGAAATAGAAGTTGCTTTTTGTAATTTTTGTTTTCTGTTTTCCCTTCTTGTAGACAAGTGGATGGTCTAAAACAGAGAATTGCAGGAAAATCTATCCCAACTGAGAAGTTTGCAGTGAGGAAAGCTCGACGCTATGCAAGTGCTCAACCAGTGAAGCTGATATTACCTGCCTTGGTATTTGTTCTTGCTTTGTTTTCATCCTTTTCAAACAGAAAAGAAAACAGTATATTTCATTATACAGGGTATTATGTGTCTGCATTTTATAATTATTTTTTTAAAATAATGTGCGGCATTCATGCAATGGAATTTTTGTGAAATGTACTAGAGACTGGATCATGCTACAACTAATAGTAGTCCAAAACCAGAGCCAGTTTTTTCACATGGAAGTTCAGTCTTGCAGAGAATTGGTTGCTGTTGCCACATGAGGCCAGAAGTCATCTTTCAGTTAGAAACCTGTGTTCATGTTATTAAGTTGGCAGGATTTAAGTCCTTGTCTTCTAGACTCATTAGGAGGTTAAGGAGTACTTCAGTACTTTGTATTCTTCTGATGAAAATGAAGAGTGATGGTTGGTTTTTGGTTTTTTTATCTTATATTGAGTCTGAGTAAAATGTGCAGAAGTTAAAGAAACGTTACTAATGCTCTTCTAATTTTCCATATTTTCACTTCAGAGGCATTAGTGTTCTGTTCATATGTGCACAGCAATGATACTTTTCATATGTGTATACTAAAGTCTTTGTACATGCATAATTTACCAACAACTGTAGATGGAAAATATAATTTGATGAGATTCTTACATTAAAGCTCATTGATATAGAAAGAGGAGTCCAAAGAAAATTTATCTAACAGTTCTAAATTACATTCTATACTAAATTGCATGTCAAGGACTAAGTAATAAAGTTGTCCTGGGTTTGTACAGCACAGTTCTTGGCAGTTGTGAGTATACATATGTTTGGTCTTGCCATCAAATCCAATATCTTTTAATTTAAGAACTTTTTTCATTATGGGTTTGACAGAACTAAGCATAGTGTATGGTTTATTGCAGTAAGCATAAATTAGACAGGACTGCAGAACTGAAACAAATCCACCATGATGTAGTTGATGGTGTCAATAACGCTACTTCAGATTTTTATAGAGCCACCTTTTTTTGCTCTATGGAAGGTAACAGTCTACAGATTAGAGCATCTATATATATATATAAACACAGGAGTGTGTGTTCGGGTGCATGCATATAAATGTATACATGCACACACTGAAATGCATACCAAGTTTACCTATAACTACTTTCAGCTGTTTCTTTAGTTCCTATGGTAAAGGCCACGAATTAAACTTAAAATACACAATTTTACTGATGTGTTACTTGGGTGACAGTAATTTTTAAAGATCTGTGAAAATATGTGACGGTAGAATCCATTAGAAAGGTATCAAAACATTCAAAACTTAGAAACCCACGTTAACTTTGTCAACACACATTCAAAGTAATTTTTCCTCTCCTGTTTGTAGACCTTTTGTACTGTTTAAAACAATTTCTATAGGGTTTTTCTGTTCCAGAACAGTCTTATCAGAGGTTCTCTTTAGTTAAATATTTATGCAATTCCATGATTTGTCTTATGGTTTTTTTTGTTTGGTGGTTTTTTTTTTTTTTTTTTTTTTTTTGTCAGGAAATGATGTATGTCTGGAATGGATTTGCGATTGTGGGCAAAAGATCAGACCTTACTGAAAACTTACTGGTAACAATTGAAAAAGAAGAAACTGCTCTACAAAATGAAACTAGTAAGTGATCAGTTAAGGTGGAATTAATAATCCATAAGAAATGCTGACATTTTTCTGTGCTTCTGTATAATGATATTCTGTGAGGTAAGTGTTGACTTGGGCAATGTGCCATTAAGTCTGGAGCCATGTGAAAGTTAGGAGTGGTTCTTCAATATGTTCTTTATCTGGCTGCATTGATGCTGCAGAAGAATACAGAAAACTCATGAATGTGAGGTTATTGGTAACAGAACATGGGTGGTTCTTGCTAAGTTGTTCCAGTCTCTGAGTGTTCTTGGAGCATAGTCCACTAATTTCTTAAATGTCTGAAAAATACTTTTTCTAAGCCAATTTACACCACACTTAACTTTACTACAGAGGACACATACTGAGTAGAATATGACAAAGTATAAAAGATATGCTGAAGTGCTATGCATGAATGAGTTTGTTGGGGTTGTTTGGTTTGTTGTTTGGTTTTTTACTTTCTGGGAAAATAAAACATGATTGCTAATTGTAAAATAAAACATACTTAGCAATTAAAATTTGACCATAGTTTTTTACATCTTGATGTGTTTGAAGCATAGATGTTCAGGTTAACGTTTAGAGAATTAACCCATAGCTTATTTTTAAAAGAATTTAAATTCCATTATTTAAACAGGTTTAGTGCACAAGTACCTGGTTTTATCAGGTGGGTGCTGTCATCTGTCATGTGAACTTCTTGGTAGAATACTCCTTTGAGTTTTTCTAGAATGAATAAATGTTATCTTTTTAAATGATAACTCATTAATAATAATTTCTATTTAACCCAGATTTTAGTCACACTTATCAACAATTTAGCAAGTTACTTTTGCCACATGGTTAAAATATCAATTATGGTTCATAAAATATATCTAGGTATGATTTACGGTATAAACTGAGGTGATGCATAAAAAGTTATACAAGGACATACAAGAAATACATAGTGGTAAAGTCCTGATAGTATAATAAACCAAATGAGAGTAACTTGGAAGGCCATGATCGAATTGGGTCCCTTAACTTTTTTATGGTCTTTGCTTCTCTGCAGAATCAGTAGTGTCCCTCTTAAATCTCAAGTGGTTTGCCTTTTTTTTGCTGTTGTCATAGTGAAACAAAACTATAGTGATATGCAAGATATTTGCCAATAAAATAATGTTTCCATGAGTTCTGCATAGAGGCTTCTGACAGAACCTCTTGGGAATCCAGTGCTGTATCATACAGAGGCTTGTGCTATAAATACTAATCAGTTGTAATGGTAAAGTAAATGTCCTTTCAAATCCCTAAGTAGAGATGTACAAGGTACCAAAATAAAAGGACAAAAGTAAAACAATTGTTTTTCTTGTGGAAATACACTGTTTGCAAATAGGATGTAATCTGTAAGCATGTATAATTTCTGTGTCTTTTTTTAGTAATAACTTCAGCCAAATATAGTTCTGTTCTGGACTTTGCTTATGTGACCCTGATTTGCTTTTAAAGATACGGACTCAGACAAGATAAAGACTCTAATTACCAGAATTGCTGCTGAATTAAGACCCAAAGCAAAAGTGATTAAGGCTATTAGCAGAGCATGACAAGGTTACAATATTACTTTAAGGGACAGTTTTAAGTACTAGATAGTGTTGAAGGATTGCTAAAGTGTTGTAAAAAAGTTTGTTGATTATACACAAAGGTCATTTAGGGTTTGAGACTTCTTAGACAGGGCTGTTTTTACTTCATTTGCTTCGCATGAACAGTCACAGCAAGGATTCTCTCAAGGATTGCAAGTAATTTTATGTTGTATAGAGCTGAAAATAGAGATGGTAGAAGGAACAGATGAAAGATATTAGAGATGTAGTTTTTTCATTTTTTCCCCTCAGGATTTCTTGAAATCTTATTTTTCCATTGTTGTAATTTCCAATGTATAAAAAAGGAATATGTAACTCCAAGAAAAATTAAATAGTTTCTTGTTTAGTAATTTGGATAGTGATACTTCCTCTGGTGTAGAGGCGCGCAAGAAGATGGTTCTCCCAGGCTGATTGCTAGGTTGTCTGTACTAAATCTGTGCATTTATTGTCGTTTATTGTTATTGTTTTGGCATATTAGCTTTTATTCTTTTGGGAAATACCAGGGAGATAGTAGTTGTAGTTGTTAAAGACTGGCGAGCCTTTACTGACATGAGTGCATGCCCTCAGTAATTTCAATGAATAAGTCCTTCAGGAGACAGTCACATGAAGTCAGTACCTTAGCCTAGCAAAACAGGCTAGAGAGAATGGAAAGTACTTATCTGCTGTGCTTCTGCATGCCACTAAAAGCTCAGTGTGTGAGTTTCTATCTATTGAGACTTTCTAGGTTTAAACACAGACAGAAATAAGCCTGAATGTAGTGGTAAAGCACTTTGTTGAATCCTAAAATGTGTTAGTCTTGCATGTTTCAGAGCTGTTTACGTAGGATTTCTTTGGCAGACTATTAAGAAAAAAATTAACGTGACCTTAGGGAGCTGGTAATTAGTTGTAAAGAACATGATCTGAAGGGAGAATGTTTTGCTTCCTGAATTGTTAATGTATGTGCCGCCATCTGTCTATCCATATGTGTTTTCTTTCCTTTCTTTTCCCTCCTTGCACACAGCAAATGCTATAAACTAAGGGTACAAAAAAGGACCACACTTGTTAAGTAAATTTTGAATTGATTCAAAAACCTTCTTTCAACTGGTATTTTTAGTCTTATTGAAGGTAAAACTTCACTGAATTTTTCAAATGTTATTCATTATACTGAATCTTCTTAATCATTAGAGATGATGGAAGTACTATGGTTTCTTGAATTTGTACTGCAAAATAGTGCTTCTGAAAAGCTCTATAGGACAGAGTCATAGTGTGATTTTGTGCTTTTTCGTGTTACTGGTGCTACTGGAGGTCTGCAAGTGCTTTGTAACAGGGGAAGCTATTAAGATAATGTGGTGGTTCCTATCTCACTGTAGGTTTAGATATTACAAGTACAGAAATCTTTAATGCCAGTCTGTGCCTGTTTGTTGACTGTTTCAATTTCTTCTTATTCTTTGACTCTCTTTAAAGAGAAAGATGCAGATGTTTTGGGCACATCTTCTTTAGTAGACAATATTTTAAATTATGCATGAAGATTTTGTACATTTTGGGGTATAAAACATAAGAAACAACATCCTGAGTCTGAATACATATTCCCTACTGAAAATCTAATTTTCCTTTTCACAGTGTCTTATAATTGTTTGATATATCTTGCTTTTCCTGTTAGATCCCAATGAGTATTATGTGGATGATGTGTGCATGTTACAGCTACTGAAGGGCCTGTGCCTGAAACACTTGGGAAGACTCATGCAAGCTGAACTGTGTTTCAGTAAAGTAATTCAAAGGTAAAATAGTAACAGAAATATACTTTAAATCTTTATATTTTAAAGCTTTTGGTGAAATTTCTGATACTCTTAGAAACTGTCAAGTTAGAATTTTGAATAATTAAATTTCAGCATCCTTTTAAAGACCTGAAATTAAAATACCTCTGAAAGCATTCAGAGAACCACAAAACTTTGCTAGTATTTTTCTGTAGCAATGTAGCATTTATATAGCTTTATATATGTTGTTTTTTAGACCACATAAATCAAACTGTTGGGTAACACATGCAAATGTATTTGGAATTGTACTTGCAGAACTATCAGTAAGTCAAGATAATTCACTTAGGTTTCCTGGGGTTTTTCTCAGGATTTAGTAGTTAATGCTTCCCCGTGTGGATGAGAAGTTGTTGTTGCTACTTGTTTCAGCTGAAAACTTGATTTTCCTGTGTTACAGATTTATGAAATACTTTAGGTGTCAGATCCATGTCTCCTGTAATAACTTCTCATTGTAAAACATGAGTCATGTGCTGGTTGTAGTTGTAAACTTTTTATAGGTTTTAAAGTATTTGGGCTGAAAAAGCATTTTTACGTGAGCAATTTTTCTAACAAGTAATTTACAAAATTTAATACTTCAGGAGAATTTGTTATGTGTAATTGTCTTGTATGTTTTAATTTTCTTGCCATTTTGTTTTCTTTTGCCATTTTTAAGATCCTGTGTGAGTTTAGTCAAACACTTTGCAAATTACAAAGCAGTGGGTTTTGACTGATTGCAAGTTAAAGGAATGGTATTCCTGGAAAATCTTGTTCCAAAGGTAGTCAGCAATGTGCAGGCTTTTAGAGCTGAGATATTAAAAAAAAATTAAAGACAACAGTTCTTCATAAAGTGTTTGTTTTGCATGGGGAGGAGGAGAAGGTTTCTGGTAAATTAAATACATTTTGTTCAACTTTACTTTCTACATGTCTAGGGCTGCTACAGTGCTTTAAGACTATTTATCACATCAGCAGTCTCCCTGCTCAAAGACATGCTTTCTGTTCATCAAGACTTGTCTTGATGGATGAGGTGCCTCTGTAGAAGTGCTGCTGAAAATATCGAGAGCTTTCCCAGTACTTGTTAAGAACTTTTTTGTTCTGCAGTATTGGTTGATGCTGTTCTGTCCAGATAAGAATCAGATTTGCTTGTAAAAGGCACAGGAAAGGCCAAGATACATGATAATCTTCTTCACCTCATTCTCTAGTGGCAAGATCAGGAGTTTGAGATCCATGAAACCCATGGGGAAGTCTGGAACAAGGAAGAATTACCCTTGGTGGAGGAGGGTCAGGTTAGGAGAAGTGCGAACAGACTAGACATATGTATGTCCATGGCAACTGGATGTATCTAAGTATATAGGACATTGGCATATATCCATGAGTGCTGAGGGAGCTGGCCAGTGTCGTTGTGACACCATTATCTTTGGAAGGTCATGGCAATTAGGGGAAGCTCATGGAGACCAGAAGGAAACAAATGTCACCTCTATCTTCAAGAAGGGCAAGAAGAAGGATCTGGGAAACTTCAGGCCAATCAAATTCTCATCAGTCCCTGGGAAGGTGGAGTAGTCAGGATGGATTTATGAAAGGGAAATAATACCTAACCATCCTTATAGTCTTCCACAATAAGATGAATGACTCAGTAGATGGTGGGTGTTCTTTATCTTGGCTTTAGAAAGGTTTTTAAGAGTCTCCTACAATGTCATCACAAAGAAACTGATGGAAATATCAACTAGATAAGTGGATGATGAGGTGGGTTGAAATCTGACTGAACTGCTGGTTTTGAAGGGCTGTGATAAGCAGCATGAAGTCACCAGTGGAGCAATGCAGAGTTCAGTGCTGGGGCCAATAGTTTTTAGCATCATCATTAAGAAGCTGATGATGGAACAAAATGCAAGCTCAGCAAATGTGCTGTTGATACAAAGTGGGAGGAGTAATTGATAAGCCAGAAGGATATGCTGCCATTCAGAGCAACCTAGGCAGGTTGGAGGAATAGGCTACCAGTAATATCATGAAGTTCCACAATGGGAATCATTTCCAACCCCTGGGGAGCAATATCCCCATGCACCAGCACAGGCTGGGGGCTGACTGCTTGGAGAGCAGCTTGTCAGAAAATGACTCAGGGATCTGGGGTGTCATATTCCACCTGGAGCTGACCATGAGTCAGCAATGTACCTTTGCAATGTAGTGTCCTGAGTTGCATTAGGAAGACTGTCCTCAGGAGGTCACGGTGGTGATCCTCCTCCCATCTCAGCACTGGTGAACCCACATCTGGAGTACCATCTCGGGACTTGGACTTACTTATAAGAGAGGCATGTACACACTAGAACAAGTCTAACAATGACGATTAAAGGATTGAAGCATTTGTCTTATAAGAAGCTGAGAGAGCAGGGAGTGTTCAGCCTAGAGAAGAGAAGACCTAAAAAGAGTGCATAAGACTGAGGGAGAGAACTCTCTTCAGTGATGCCCAGTGATGGAACAAGAGATAATGAGCAGGAACTAAAATATAGGAAATACTGTTTAAACATAAGGGGGTGGGTTTTGGTTTGTTTGTTTGTTTGTTTTAGTTTACTGTCAAGTTGGTCAAACACTGGCACAGGTTGCGCAGACTCCAGACTGGAGTCTCCATCCTTGAATATATTTGAAAGTCCTGGACAGTTTGGTGCTGTTGGCATTACTTTGAGCAGGGGATTGGATTGGATGATCTTCAGAGATGCCTTCAGTAATTCTGAAAATTTCTTATATTGAAGAAAAGGTGAATTTCCTTACTTCTCTGCAATTTGTTCAGACAAGCTAGAGTAAAGCAGTCTTAATTCTGTGTGGAAATACAGTATTTGTATTATACTGCATAACCTAATGAATGTTTTTATCTCAGGGTAGGGCTTTGAATGGTTGGGAGTTTTTTTTAACTGTTATGTCGCACAATAGGATCCTAGTCTTCTGTTTGTTGTAGCTTGGGTAACATACAACAATACAAAAGTAAGGTAGAAAAGATAGATTTGTACTCCTAGAAGATCACGTTGGCAGTATTTTACATCAACTGTGTAGAAGTATAATTACTGTGTACAGAGCTAACCAGTAAAAAAGGTTCCAGAGAGTTTTCTCTGGCTACACGCTCTTAGAGGCAGTGATTGCATTTAGAAGTTAACTGGTTGCTTGAGACAAGGTTGTAAGTAACCATTTCTGTATTTTTCTGGTTTCTAGTGAGAAGCAAATAAAATACGATAGTTACTTGGTGCCGTTCACCCTATATGAATTAGGTCTTCTGTACAAACAACAGGATGAGAGAGAAAAGGCAATAAGATACATAGAAACTGCAAAGTAAGTGGATTTATTTTCTTTATTACCCTGTAAATTAAGAGTAGCTGAATATTTGTAGCAATGAAGGCGTGTGGTTTTTTTCTTCCTGACAGCTTCTTTACAAAATACAACTCATTATAAATCCATGTTCTTGGTTTGGAGAACTTGTCCAGTGTAGTTGAATTTTACATTTTCATAAAACTCTCTCCTTCAGACACAGTGTAGAGAGAATCAAAAAAGACATAGTATGAAGGGAAAATATTTCCTCTTCATTTGGGCTTCAGAGATGCTGAAGCTCCACTGCATGCATGGGATGGAGCTGGAGAGTCCAGAGAAAGGATCTGTACCACTCTGTCCCAGAGAGCAGCTGCAAAGCCTAAACCTGCTGCGCTAAAGGTGTTAGAGAAGTAGATTAAAAGCCAGTACACATCTGACCACACACCTTTTTGCTTTCACATCTTGTCACAGAAGAGCAGCTGAAGCTAAATTTACTGTAGGAGCAGCATGTTTTCATCGTCTGTAGGTTGTAGTGTGGGGTAGAATGTCCCTTGTGTGTACAGAGAAGTGTACCAATCATGCAACGGTGTTGTAAATGTGAGTTAGAAACAAAAGCATTTTTAGAAACATAGTTTTTTGTCCAGTGCAGTTTGTATTTGCTTTTGGGGTTTTTTTGGGGGGGAGGGTGTGGGATGGGAGGTACATTTACATAATGTGGTTTCTCTGCGTTTTATTACTCTGGCTGAGTTGTGTTTTGAGGCAGAACATACACTTTCAGTTAACAGCCTTACTTTTCTGTAGTATTTTGGCTTGTCTTTTTACAGCAAACTTCAGTAATTGGAAGGACTGTTAAAAGGATCAAAATAAGTGAAAGTGATGTAAGACATGGGTTCAGTTTATCAGGATGTTTAATTTTTTTACTGATATAAGGCTTATCTGCTCAATTTGTGGATGAAGCTTTCAATGTCTCTTAACTTGTATCTGTGTCAACCTCTGTTACCTCTTGAAGGAATGAAGGCTGTTAACTTCGCTACTTCCTTGCATGTGTGAAGCAGAAATAATCCAGTTTAAGCATCTTTTTGTTTAAATAACTTGTATGTTTTGCAGAAACAACTACAAAGAATACTCTATGGAGTCCAGGTTGCACTTCAGAATTCATGCGGCACTTGACAGCTTGAAGATGTCGCCTGCTTCAACACCTTGAATGAGGACGGATGCTTTTCATGCACACAATAAATAGCCTACACAATCTTTTTGCAATCTTTTTTTAATCATAGAAAAGAACATAATGATTGTTTTCTGTCATTTCTGATTTGATGTATATCATTCCCATAGACTTCTTTTTCTGTGTAGCACCTACACTGTATCTACTTGCTATTTTAAAGAAGACCTTATATTTTGTTTGATAAAAATAATTTAATATTTGACTTAAATGGGGGATATTTTAAAAAAAAAAAGATGGTGCAATAAAGTTTAATGCGAACACTATTTTTTTATATGAGAACAGATGCTGGTTATGCAGTGGAACTGGTAATAATTTAGCATTTTTTGAAAGTTTGATTTTCTGCAGTACACTTGAGACCTTTTTGCTTCTGGAATAAAAAAGCAGATAACCTTACCCACATTTGGCACAAGCTATTCTGAAATTTGTGTTCCAGAGGAAAAAATTTGTCATCTTTGACTTAATTTCGTTTTGGGAACAAAATGAACCTGTCTAAAGTGCAATATTTTTACATTGTCAGAGGATGCTAAGCAGGGCTACAGTTATAATGTCTTTGTAGGTCTATTTCACTCAAAATAAGTTCTTACAGGGGATATTTTCCAGTCATAGAAAAGCATGACTGTAAGTGACATTAAGAAATCGTTCTGTATCATTGCTTTGAAGCAGAATCAACAGTCTTGAGTTGTTCCTGACAGACTTGTTTGACTTGTTTAACAATTAAAAAAAAAAAAAAAAAAAGCTTGCACTGAGAACATTCATTTTGCAACTTACATAGGATGTTTTTCCCAGTGGGAAAAGACTGGGAAATTTTGCTTGGCGTCTACCCCAAATAATTCTTGGTACAACTGAAACTAGTTTTTTCCCATCTTTCCTGTCATAGACCTGGAGAAAGGATTCTTCTTTTCCTTTTTGAAGCAATCTTTTAATATATGAAGACTAGCACCCTTTTTAGTATTCTCTGTTCTTGGATACCAACCAAAAAAAAATAAAATTGAGGAACATATATATTTTCCTAATTATGGGAATACTCATATTAATGGAATTTGATTGTACATCAAAAAGGGAATCCACTTTTAAAATTGCAGTTAAGAAAATGCATATATTCTAATCTAATTTCTACCAAAAATATGTAGTAAAATCGAGATATTTATAAGAGCATACATTTCTCTTTTCATTGTAATATGGGAATAGCAGTATCAAATTAAATTTCTGATTTCTTTAGATATGCAGATTCTATCTGTCTGTTTTTAAAAATAAGAATATATTTGATTTTAATTTAAGTGTACACCCAGTAACTGTTCTTTCACTAGTTACTGCAAAATTTGTCCATTTCCATATTTTATCAATGCCAGTATATTTACTTCTGCATGTAAATTCATAGTAACTGTGCTCATGTATGTGATTCACTGCCCTAAACTTGCATCTAAGAAAAAATGGGACAAAAGGAATAGGTGAAAAGTATATCTTTAGTAAATGAGTAAATGAAGTTCCTAATTAAACAGTCAATGTAATGTAAATGCAATCATTATTCTTCTCAAGTGACTGAGAGCACAGCTTTCTTCTATGACTTTATAAATAACTGGGTCATTTAATTGCTTATAATTCTGTAATACAGCGGCATACTTACAGGTCAAGTAAGGGTTTAAAAATATTAGCTAAATAAACATAATGGATCTTTCAAAGTGGAAACCTGATCCGACGTCTGTTTTCTTCACTGGTTTGGATTTGTGCCTACTGTAAATGTGTAACTATGTTATTGTGTAAAATTATACACATGTAGGTGTGAAGCTAGAGATACCCGAGACACTGAATCACTGATAAAATAAGCATGCTTATTTTAAAATATAGTCTACTGACTGTAGCTAAAGTACAAAACAGAGAGTAGCGTATGCTGCCAACTGACTTCTCTAATTATTTATCCATTTATACATCTGATTGTAAGCTGTAGTCAGCATAAACAGACAATAGTTTTAATACATCGATGGGCATTTACATGTGCAGTTTAGGATTACTTTGGCCTGATCTGATTATTGGATATTGGCAGTCAAATGAGACTACTTCAATTTCCTGTAGAAGGTGATGGATACAATTACAGGTAAAATTTCTGTAATCTGTATTTCAAATAGTACTTCACTCTACAGAAGAGTTAGAACTGGGAATACAGACTCTCAGGATGGAGCATAAAGTAGTTTCTGATCTCTGGTTCTTGTGGGGAGTGTCTTCCAGTTAGTATTTCATTAGTGTTTTTTTGAAAGTTTAGTACAAAGCGTCATGTCACAGTGTACTTCTTTCCATGGGTAATGTCACTGACTGAAGGGAGACTGAAAAACAACTTTATTTTCCTCAGTTCAGCCTTCTGAAGTCAATATTATTGCCCTGTGTATGTTACACTTAATTTGTTAAGTACTATTTAGAGCTTGTCTCCTTTTCTGTGCTGTGGTTCCAAACTTTGTTAGAAAAATTGATTGATCAAGTTGCTTAACATTAAGCTTTATTCTGGACATTTTTTTTCCAACTTACTAACAGTACGTGTGAGAGTGATTTTTAACCCATCTCTCCATAGAGCTGTAAGAGATGCTTGGTTTTCCAAAAGCTGTAGAAGCGTGTCTCCCCTACACAGTATGTCATTGGTGCAGTGTTATTTAGGACATTATGTCTGAGTTAAGTGATCTGTGGCTAAGAGTTCAGACAAAAGGTCTGTGGGTTTTTTTGGTTTGTTGGTTCATTGTTTTTGTGGGGGGTTTTTGGTTGATTTTTTTTTTTTATCTGCTGAGTACTATACTGGGCCTTAAATATAGCTCTGATTTAGTCTTAACTGCTCTTTATAATCTTCACCTCACTTGCTCATCTTCATGGGAATTTTGAATATTGTGCTGAGACTTTGAAACTGAGCAAAGCGTTTTCCCTATGATGATATAGCCTTTCTCAATAATACTAGGAATTATAATATATACAAGAGCAAATTTAATTTGTTAGTTTAGGCAAGCAAGGCTAAACTTACACAGATAGGTTATGAGAAAAGGTCATTTACATCTTTTTGATAATAGATGTATTTTTTTTTAAGGTAAGCAATAATAAATTAGCCTGGTTTTATGGCAAAGCTTCTCTTTGAATAAGAATTGCCTACTTAGAATCTATTACAAAAAACTTCTTGTCTGTGCATATCATTCAGATGTTAACCTGTTGGTGAAAGATCACTGTACAATGGTTTTTATGTCCTTGCTCATCAGTTTTTAACAAAAATTGGAAAAAAATGCATGTCAAAAGAAAGCTGATGCAAGATTGTTACATAGGTGTTCTAATACACAGTTGTGTAGGACTTTATGGCCAGAAAAATGTACAATGATCTTGTTTTGCTTCTAAAATGCCTTGCAAAGTAATGTGTAAAATAAGTAATTTCTTATCACAAATTCAACTTAGACTTTGCAATTATTTTATTACTAATCTTAATGTTTCATGTATTTTTGTTTCTGTATATTCTTACACAGCATAGTTCAAAAAAGAATATTTGCTCTGGTGCTGCAGTTTTTTTGCTTCTAAACTACTGAGTTTTGCACATGTTCATATCTGGTACTTGAGTAAATAACGAGATCAGAATAACAGAGGATGATGATTGAAGTATGTTCTGGTTTAAATGTAGAAATGTTCATTTTGATGCATTGGAATGGATTCTCACCTCAGAGGAATAAATCACATATTATGCTTGTGCTACCAAGTGCTGAATTAGGCATTGTATTCTAGTTGCACATAAAGAACCTTCAGCTGAGATTTATCAAAGCAATATCAACAAAAAAGTTGAGTTTAAACATGCTATATTGGGAATAGCGTTCTCTTTATTTACCTGTCTAGGCTGAGAGGTTGTACAAAGCTGTCAAGGTCTAGGAGGAAAGGAAGGGTCTTTTGAAATATAGATAGCAAATATAAAATAAGACACTTTAATCTTAATTTCTCACCAGTGATAAAATCATATCATTAAATGCTATGAAATACAGGTGTGATTAATAATTGACTCACTCTATTATTAGTTACTTAATTAAATTCAGTGGGGGCTATACCTAATATACTTCTAGCATTCTTTTAAAATCCCGACATTAAAAAATTCTAAGCTATAATCATCTGATCTGCTCAACACTTGGACTTCCTGTATTCCACCCATCACAAAGGTATCAGTGGTGTTGGGACCTTACCTTTGTTCATTTTGTTATGGGGTTTTTCTATTGTGTTGTGTTTTCTGCCTTTTTTTTTTTTTTTTGAATCTTCTTTTTTCGTTGGTTGATTGGTTTTGTTTTGCTTCTGTTTTGGTGCTGATGTTTTGGGGGTTGTGGAGTTTTGGTGCTGGTTTTTTTTCCTGATTTTGCAGTTTACTCAATTTTTAATAGGTCCTCTGGGACAGTTTCATAAAGAAATTTAAACATTGCAGTTGGTAGAAGAGTAGCCTCTATGCTAAAAAAAATCAGAGTCTACGGTTAGTATAGCAAATTCAATGTTTAGTGAGTGCAAAATCAAATATTCTCCTTTTTGGAGAAGTGTAACCATACACTTTCAGTCTGTGGAGAAGCACATGTCAGCTAATAATCCTGCCTAGGAATACCTTCCTAGATTTAGTCACTCATTTAAAGAAACAACTTCTTCAAACACATTAGCAGTAGGAGATGTCTTGTCCATGTCAGATCTTTTGTACCATGAAAATCATAGAGCATCCAAGCTGAGTGATCCAGATTCACTACCCACCTCCCTGAGGCCATAGTATGAAGAATGCTCAGTGTTGATGTCATGGGACTGTGTGGGAAAAATTAAGGTTTTACTAAAATCCCACTTGAAAGGTTAATGGTCTTATGTACTTGAGGATGTAAACGTGGTTCTCAAAACTCAATTGTCTTATTGTCAAGTGGATATAAGACTAAATAAGGAGAACTTTTTGGAGATGCTTAAATGACCTCTTCAGAATCTACAAGTCAGGGTGGAGTGATATGTAAAATTAGGTTAATGCTACTTATATAGCTTATGTTAGGCTTAACTTGTTCTAGAGCATTAGGAGATTTTCAGAATTAAACTTGATTGTAGAAGAGGGGGCAGTATGAGTTTAAATATGGCTTTATTTTCAATAAAATTTTGCTTAAGGTGATGGAACTTATGTTTAGGCAAAACACAATGTCTGAAGAGGCTGAGGGACAGATACAAAACTTTCATTCGTAACACCCAGCCCACCTTAATTAGATTTTTTGTCTCTTTTGTTTATAATGTGCATTCTCAAGCCTTACTTGGAAAAGATGCTTGGCTCAAATCTTTCTCCAAATTCTAGTCACATCAATAAAATTGCTTCAAATCCATCTGTATTAGGTTTTACATAGGAACATTACAAACTTCTCATTGTTGACAATGAGAAAATGTTAGATGTTCTGCCACCTATTATTAATTGGTTTTATGCTCTGAAGAAAGTTTAAACTTGTTTTTTGTATAACACAAAATTCGAAATCAGTTTCTTTTCACAACCCAAATGGAAAGTAGACCTCCCATATTTTTCATTAATTTTATTAGATTGTCCATAGGCTGTGGAAGCAACTTATTTAGTTTATTCTAATGAATGAGACTGATAGTACTATAATCATTGTGTCTATTGCATAATGAGTCTTTGAAGTAGAAGCTGCTTTAAATCAGATTCCTGTGAGCTGAAAGAAAAGGGCTGAAAGTGGAACGTGTTGTGAGGAGTTCAGGATGTCTATAGAAGATCACAGTTAAAACTGGACCTTTCTTTAAATGCAGTGTACTCTGAAGGCCAATGGCAATCAAAATGTTTTAGCATCTAGTGAATATGAAACAATTTAGAGTCTTGTTTTTCTACAAACTAAGATTTTAATAGTTTGTCAGTTTGAGACCCCCAGAAATCCAATTTCTGAGTCCAAGCCTCCCTCCCACATCTTACCCCAGTGTGAGATGGGTTTTCCAGACACAACACAAGACTCAATATGGGGAGAAGGGAATTATATTACAATCACTACACAAATAAATATTATAATATATTATATACACAATCTTATCTCTCTCTCCTATGATAAATCAGTGTGGTGGTTTGAAACTCCCAAGATCTAATGTCTAAGTTCAAGCCCCCCTCCCACAGTTTGCCCCTGTGAGAGGGTTTAGTGATGGTATGGACTTGATATCTTTTTCACCTCATGTGGAGAGTTTTCAGACAAAACACAACCATTCGTTATTGGGGGAAGGGGAAAATATTTACAAAGGTTTATTTATACACACACATATATATCTACATTGAATTAAATTCCTCTTTTCCTTCAATAAAAGTGTAAGAAGAAAAGAGAAAAGTCTTTCTGTTGCTTCTCAGGCCACAGTTCCTTCATTTCAGTTTTTTGTGGCACTGGTTAGTGTCCTTCATTTTCCTGAGGCAGCAGATTTACGTATGGCAGTCAGGATTTTTGTTCTTACTTTTTAGAAATTCCAGCCCCGAGCCCGAGCCTTCGGGGGATTTCCTTGTAGATCTTCACTCCTCTTGGGTTAGAACATTGAAGGCAGCTTTCAGTTCAGTCTTACCAAAGCTCTTCTGCTCTGTCTCTGCTCGCCAGCCCGATAGAAGCAGCAGCAGCAGCAGCAGCAGAGGGCACGGCCACCTCCTCCACATTCCATCCTGGCTCAGCTCTCACGACAAACTCCGGGTTTTCAGCTCC